ATTAAATTGAATTTATTAGCCAATCAAACGAACTTCTGCCTATGAAATAAGTTACTTAAGAAATTAGCCAATCAGACGAAATTCCATCAGTTGACTCATCAGTTGACCTGCCAACCTCCAACCGGTTGGTTATAATTCCAACTGGGTAACCGACTCAACCGCAGGTGACCCAGTTAATACCCAACCGGGTCGGAACACTAGTTGAAATGACAAATGACTAGTCACTTGTCATTTGGGTCATTTGGGTCATTTCAGGTCATTTACCATCCCTGGTTATAAGTGCTATGTACAGTATAAGTAATAGACTATTTGTTATAATGCAGATGATTGACTAGTGTTTGTAGTCGATACAGATTTAAGTTGATATTTAAAAATCGATTAAATCGGGTCAATTACTCGTTCTATATTTCCAGTGTTCATTTTTTTTTTTCCGAATTTTCCTTTATTATCCCTATAGGTTTTACTACAAATAACCGGTGGCGATCTCACCACCTCTCATTTTTAGAGTTAGGGCGCAGTTTTAAGGTAACGTAAGGTCAGATATAAATGTTCAAATTTTAATTAGAATTAGAATTTTGGGGGTCCTGAACATTCTTGCTTAGTATTCCTGACGTGAATTAGCTAGTAAGTTTTTGAGATATAGCATCTCGGTGATAATCACCACCGATTATAGTTAGTAATATTCTTTCCTATATTCATAATCTTCAACTCGACTAAGCCGAAGTCAATTTTTATCAACTGACGTCAATCAACTACAAAAAACATTAAAGAAACAAAATTATAATAAAACTCTATAACTTAAGTAATAATATGTTATTTGGTATGAATATTTTATTAATTTCTATTTAAATATTATATTATCTCAAGACCTTAAGTTTAAAATCTTATCTTCTTGACTATATCTTAAAAATTGTTTATAAACAGGATTTTCAGTTTCATTAATAGCATGATATCCAAGTTGATTCTTAAAATTCTCGAACGCTTCTGAATCTTGAGGCGGTACTTGAATTCCAACTAATACTTTCCCTATATCTATTTTATCAACACCGTGAATAGTAGTGGAATAGTTATCATTAAAAACAATATCTTCATTATCGAATAAATTAATACTCGTTTCATCGTTATCACTAACACCAGATGATGCTGTTGATGACGACATGCTTTCAATCGCGAATCGAGTTGATTGCGGATCTTCGTTGGTCGGTTTATATTTTAACGTACCTGAACCATGATTACGATAATGAAACAATGAAATGTTCCAATCTGAACGAAGTCCCGAAAGAAATTTTTTTAATGCCCCTGGTCGCTCAGGAAATTCTTTAATAGGGTTTCATAATTAATATTCGTCTATTAAGACAGTTTAAATAATAAATTCAAACTTACCAAACCGATATAATTGTTCGTTTTCAACTTTACTTCTTCCGCCGACCAGGTACCTCGCGTGACTTTTAGCCATTTCATTATCGCTAATATCCTGAGCGTAAAACCCATTAGCTTCTAATTTTTCTAAAACAGAAGGAAGGTCTTTCTCACGATCGTCAACTTCAAATGACATGTAAATCCACGCTTTTTCAGGATCAGAGTGTCTGTTGCGAAGATTAATAAACTAATAAAAAGCAGCACAAATTTAAAAAATTGCACATTACTTTACCTATATGAAAATTCTGTTATTTGACGCGGGTACATATTGTCACATAGTTGGACAAAGCTAGTTTGTAATAAACAACAAATCATATATAAAAATTATATTAAATAAATATATTAATAT